CTGCGTGCTCAGGATTACCAGAGGCCTTTTCTTTCAACGCCACCATCTCTGCCTTCCTTCAACCGGCTTTCTTTGGGAATTAGGGGGGTCTGGAAGTCTGGAGCTGAGAGGGGTTGCAAAGGAGAACTGGGACTTAGGCTGCCCACATCCCTGACTCCTTCTCCTCTCTTCTTGCCTGTTGTGTGGAGAGTTTCTGGTTGAAACTGACAGGCAGGAGTGGGGGTTTGAGGACTCCCCACACCATGGATCAGTCTCTGTTCGGTTGTCTACGCAGCCCTCACGCCCCAGCCCAGGGCCTGCACCCCGCCATCACCCAATCGCCGCTGACCTTGCATGGCCGGAGCGACCACGTCTCCTACCTGGATCTACCCAGCTCCTCACCCCCCTACAGCTACTCTGGAGGAGAGGACAATGGAGTGTTCAGCGGTCCGGCCCACCGAGGCCACCTGCCCCAGCAGCACCCCCTCCACCCTCAGCACCCGCCCGGCTGGCCCGTCCCCCTGCAGATGCCCTCACCTAACGCTCGGCACAGCGTCTGTCTGCCCCCGCTTGAGGCCACGGCCCCAGAACTGTGCCCAGGGGGCCCAAACCTGTGCAGCACCAACTCCGGTCTGGGCAGTGGTGACTGCACAGGGGCGTCCTGTGTGTCTGGGGAATATGGCCGGCAGAGTCTGTCTTCAGAGGACCCTGAGAGAAGGATCAGTAAAGGCAAGAATGATAGCTCAGGTAAGTCCATAATGCATTTTGTTTTAAACAATTTCACCAAAAAATTTATTATTTTATAGAGCTCACAGCTTAATTTTCACTGTCCTCCAAAGAGATTCATCTCAGACTGACTGATCGTACATTACTGACACTGACAGGAGTGCTCATGCAACAATTATTTTACATTATAAAGTTAAGCCTTTGCTATTACATATTTACATTTGTAAATATGTAATAGCAAAGGCAAATTTGTAATAATGACGATAGACAAAACATTGCTTTGAGTAAAATTTAAATCTAAAGAACAACATTTTATATTTTTTTTAATAAAAAAATTCTTTAATAATTTTAAATTAATTTCAATAATATTAACAGCTTTAATACTAAATTAAATATAAATGAATTAAATATGCACAAGATGTTTTAGAACATCAATAAACTAAAAGATCAGTGTTAGACGTGACCATATGCCTTATACAATACAATCATGTAATATCAGTCATGCTTAGTAGTAGTAGTGAGTATAAACACTATGTTTAATCCATCCTTTTCCTCTTAAAAGCTTCTTTAGTTAATTTGTGTTTCTCTTGGTAAGAAATTTAAAAAGTTACTTTAGTACAAATAAAATACAACTGTATCATATATTTATTTAGTACTTCATCCATCTATATTATAATATAGAACAATGGACAAATACATGTCTGTAGTTAAAACCTGAGGTGCGCTTGCATTCTAGATAGACAAAGTTAATGATACCAGTCAGCACACATAACTAGCAACTGACAAAAAATGACAGTGAATTCTAAGATTAAGTTTGTGCCACCAAACTCTAACTTCCAGTGTTGGCGATGGTTGATATTTAAAGGTGAGGATTTTGTGTGACATGCTGCAGGAGTGACTTGGCCTGAGTAAGTACAACGTAGGCTACTGGGGTGCCCCATAGACAGGATTATAAAAAGTCGCTAGTCATCACCCAACACAAAAAAAGCTTCTAAAAATTTTTATCATACAAGTTTAAAAGAAATCAGGCACAACGCGCTCAAGTCCCATTTAAACTTTCAGGATTGGGTGCTGGAGCCTAAATGTGTTAAAGCAGTGGTTCCCAACCTTTTTCTTTAAGGGACCCCCTTTCTATCATTGAGTAAACTGACTAAATTACATATTTCAACAATAAGAGTAGAGAACAACTAATAAACTGAACAATGAACCCAAAAAGTGAACACAGTAACTGCAGGAAGTTTGTAAAACAAGCGATTTGGATGAATTTTGAGCAGATTGTTTCCTGTGAATATTGATCAGAGATGAGTCTTCCTAAAATATATTTATACAGAGTATCTATCATGTATTTTTCATCATTATCCATACTTAATAGTTTTTTTTTTGACAAATGAAGTGTTTTCTTCTCAGTTCTATCTCTTTGGTTGTTTTCACAGTGTATTTTGCAGGATGAGGCTGTTTATCAGAGAGTGAAAGCTCTGTCATTATAGCTTGTGTTCACATCTTCAGAGTTTATATCTTAAATAATAACTGAAACTTCATCTTGTTTTCTTCACAAAAATGAATAAAATACTGAGATAAAGGCCTATTGTGTATATTTTATATTTTTGGTGACCCCCAGGTTAGGAGCCACTGTGTTAAATCATAAAATGAAACACTGGGTCAGCACTCCAATTTTACTTTTTGATATTACATGGACATTCTAGTCAAGATGTCCTTCTTCAGCATGTACTCTGGCAATTTCACAACAGACATACACAGGTGGCGTTAATTATAGGCTATCAAAACTGGCACAACAAGTACATCCCAACAGGGAGCTACCTTTCCAGTCACAGTATATAAAATATAAAATACACGGGAAAACGTGAAAAAAATGTAAATATATTTTATTCAATTATACTATTCTGTAAATTTCATTTCCCAGCATGAAGGCCTAAAGGCAGTTTCTAAGCCTTCTCCACACTATCTGGAATATAAACATTGTGGGGAAATACATAGTCCTTTATTTATTAATTATTTAATTTATTTATTATAACAGATTGGGTCTATAATATAGTGTGGAATGGCATTTATATAGCTTATAATACAGTATATGTTAATGTACAGCCAACATAACCCTAACCCCCTTAAGCCAATATGGACAAGAAGCCCAAAAGCAATCAGAAGAAATGGAAATTATGATTCAATTACTGAGCAAATTTCATCTGCTGATGAAGATCATGTGATACGGTCATGACCTCAGTGTCTACAATGGAAGCTGAATAAATTAATCTGTTTTCCTGGACTCGATGGTGGAATAGTTCAGGTGATGCTGAAAGTGCAGGTCACTATTGACAGCATAAGACTGAACTTGGCATCAATGTGAAAGTTCTACATCTACACACATATGCTTCCCATGAATGGTAAAAAAGGGCACAAGAGAGCACACAAGCTCCAGGATCCATTTGCGAGATTTAAAAGCAGGCACCGTATCTGCATCATTTAGCCACGCCGACAAGCAGCTCTGCCATGTCGAGAACTTTCCAATTCCCCTGGAGCCGTCGTCCCCGGCCAGGAGAGGGGACGCTTTGACTGACAGACTGAACACTTCGAAAGGATGTGCTGAAGCTGCCAGAGGCCTAACCCAAATCCAATTTCCTAACTCTAACTTCACTGGCACTCACAGAAGCCACAGCACTTTTAGAGTTTACTCTGGACTTGATGTTCTTTAAAAAAGAATCTAGTGATGATGAAATATACGTAGTTATTGATCTTTCAAAGAGCAGTCTGTGCGGATGGTGAAACTGAAAAAAATTAGCTCCCTATTTATCAACTAAACTGATTTCTGAATGACTGAAAACAAATTTTTAAGTAATTAATTGCACTGAATGAAACAACATGACAAAAGGAAAATATGACACAAAACCGCCAATGGTCAGTTTCTTTGTGCAATTCGCTGGGTGTCTGGAGTCTCACATTACGGCACACAGTGTCTCTTTCCTGGTGGTTTGTCAGCACATCCCACATTTACACGACTAATGAAATGTCAGCTGGATTTATACGGCGCGGACTGGAGAATAGTGTAGAAATTATTATTCAGTGTTTTCGCACTATGAGAGATTGCTTTCAAAATGCTCCGTTCGTTTTCACCATTCGCTGACCACAAATACATAAAAGGGATGCTTGTAATATGCTCGCACTGACAGACAATGTAAGCGGGGAAAATATGATTTCACTCTTAAAGCATGAACAATCGGGGAAAAGCTTAGTGTTTATGTGCATTATGAAAAGTCGAGCAGGGCTGAAAAGTGCCTCTTAAAATTTATATTAACATGTGGCTTTTCACTTTATTCTAAAGCATCCAGTGTAACTCACCAAAAACATTTCATTCATGCTTCAAAACCTAATTACTGTGTCAGTAAATTTGCAAATGCCACCAGAATGAAAGGTTTTGTCATCGTGCAAGCCTTACTGGTCAATTTGTTTAGATGTTCAGTCCCTTCAGGATTTTCTGGGCTTCTTTGGGGACTTTTGCGGCCTAAAATGCCTCATTTCATGAAAGCTTTTCTTAAAAATTGTGATGCATGTTACAGTGTTTTTAGGCATTTATTTTTCAATTAATTTATGGGAGAAAGTGAAAATTACAAAAAAAGTTGTTCTCTATTGTATAATTCAATAAATATCAAAAGCAACTTGTTCCAGTGAGAATAAGAATGCACTGTTTGGAGAGTTGATGTGATATGTTCGCATCACAAATTTCTGCATCTTCACATCACAACTAGAAACAAGGAAGTGAGTTTGGGCATGTATGGCTCAACACCTTTGGCACAGGAATCTACAACTGGTCAGATTTGCGTAAAAGTGTGATTGACAAAATTGCAAGGTGGTGCAGAATTAATGGGGATTGGTTGATTTTGCAGTACTCGCAACATCGCAACTTCCTTGTACTGTATTCAAATCTCTGTTTTGTTCTACTTTTGTTTGACACTGCCTACTGTACAGGGTTCAAGTTATAATTTGAGTTTACACACAGCAGTCGATTACTTGCAACAACTGTATCATGTAGATTGCAATACTGGTGCAAAACGTTTTTAGTGGATAAAAAAAACTCCTGTATAAAGTGATAAATTACAAAACTAACTGAAGTAACTGAAAAACACTTCACTGCTACACATCAAATGTTTAGAATCCATCACTAAAAAACAATTTTTTTGTCAGCAGTAACACCAAGACGGAATTGAAGTTGCACTGAACCGTGTCACACTTACAATTCAATGAGCAACATTGTCTTGTGCTCCCCTGAGGATCTTTGTCGTAGGTCAGGTCTGAAAGAATTGCATCCTCTGTACCTTCGGTACTGTAGAAAAACTTTTTCCTATATTTTGGCATCGACTTTGCACCGAAGCATCGGCTCTTGTGACATCCCTAGTCAGTGAAGTCCTCTTCTAATCCACCGGGCCTGAACAAAAGCAACCAATCAGGGCAGAGAATTGATTATTCCCTGGTAATCAAATACAGATGCTGGGAATGAGACCCAACAATCAGCTATCTTCAAGCCCCCAAACCAAAGCGTCTTTCTATCTTTCTTGGCTCTGATTGGTTGTTTTTCACAGATTATCTGTCTCATGTACTACTGTCAGGATATAATAAACATTTCAGCAGTAATGACAAAAAGGTATTTTTATTGAAGGTACCTGGGGCAGCTGTGGCTCAGAGGCAGAGCGGGTCGTCCACTAATTGGAAAGTTGTTTGGTCTCGATCCCGACTCTCCCCAGCCCGTGTCGCGCAAAAAAAAAGGTAATCCTTGAGCAAGATACTGAACCCCAAATTGCTCCTGATGCTGTGCATCAGTGTGTGAATGTGTATGAATGTGTTAGTTTCTGTTTGATGGACTTTGCCATCACTGAGTGAATGTGTGGCGAATGTGTCACGTAGTGTAAAAGCGCTTTGAGTGGTCGGAAGACTAGAAAGGTGCTATACAAGTACAGGTCCATTTACCATTTACCATTTACTGCAGCTTAGCCGGGCACACAGTTTTCTTGTGCAATAAGAGATTCTGGATGCGCTCACGTGGGTAAAGTGATATGTGTGAAATGAGATAATCTGTTAACTGTTAGCTCATCTGACTGCCTGCAATTACTTTGATGAGTAGAGTGGCATCATGACCAATCAAAATAATGCTTAAAACTACAAAACCCTAGTTGTAATAAACAGGAACTATCCCGTATTGTAGATTTCCTCTGATAAGGCTTTCCAGACATTTTGGTGCTAAAATGACAGCATTAATCCCAAACAATAGTTTTACTGACAGTAAAATACTGAATGGAGCCAACTGGAAGCAAACTACCTCCTTGGGTTGAATAATGCAGGCTACAACCCCAAGATCTCCACAATAAAAGGTGATTGGCAATCCTAATTGTTCTGCTTTCATATTATTTTGGTTTCAGATGGGCCCCTGCAGTTTATCAAACCCCTCTAATCCCCCCCCTCCCCCCATTTTTTTTGTTCTTCCTCCCCCTCTCTTTTGGAGACTCAGCTGTGGCTGGAAAATGTTCTGTTTTTCATTTCAGAGTCCCAAGACGGGAGCTATAAGTCAGACATGAACAGCAAGCCCAGGAAGGAGCGCACAGCCTTCACCAAAGAACAGATCCGGGAACTGGAGTCAGAGTTTGCACACCACAACTATTTGACAAGACTGAGACGCTACGAAATAGCTGTCAACCTCGACCTCACGGAACGACAAGTACGGTACCTGCTGAGTGACTTTGAATCATTGTGAGGGCAAAGAAACAGGAGCAGCACAATAAACAGCCATACTAGCTAATGTGCTCCAAGTCATGAAATACAATTAAAGGGGGATTAAATGGGCCATGACTTTTATTAACATCCTTTGGCATCCATTAGTACTGCAACAAAATCGACAGGTCTCACTGACAAACACTTGAGTCATAGTTGGACTCTGGAGAGTTACAGATAGCTTTTTTAAGCAGAGATCCAGAAGAAATGTCCAGGGAGGTAATAAATCACTGCTGTAATGTCCTCCTTTGTTTTGAGAACAAGGCTTTTACACTTTTAGTCTTCATAAAATGTGTGATTAGAAGAAGTACTTTGATACTCTTATTAAGTAAACTTCATATATTATCTCATCTGATAAAAGGGAAATTTGTACTTTAAATAAAAGTAGAATGATATTAAATGCAGTAGTGCTGTTTTATTGTGAAATTATGGAAAATTCTTAACCCAGGGTCAGATCAAATGATTAATATCAGTTTGTCTGATTACTCTGATTGTTTGTTTTTGTTCAGACATCTCATCAGTAGTTTAAACTTTAAACTGAGAATTCCAACTTTTTTTTTGTGGCCCTAATCCTCTTCCGTACACTACAGCAGCAACTCAGATCGAAACAATGGGCTCTACGGCTGACCAAACTCCATTGACGAAACTAGTCATTTCACCCCCGGAGATATTTGTAAAACACAATTTAACAAAGAGTGAGTGTTATTTTAGTTCAGTCTTTCCAACAATCACTGTGGTTTGGTCAAAATAAACCCTTAATTCACAGAGTTAGATATGAAAATACAATACAATGGCTGTGGCAACTTTAGCTAATCCTTGGGGACAAATCTACCCATCAAAGTACATTCACTACAAGTTGCCACTGACGCTCAGATTGTTATTCTAAGTGTCTGACAACATAACAGAAAGGGTCCCTGCAATGATAGAGCTTTTGTTTCACCAGGAACAGCTTATCACTAGCACAAAAGAGCAACATCAAACAATTAATAATAATAATTGCTATAATTGTAATCTAAACGCTCTAAAAGAATCCTCAAGCACAATGACATCCATTACTCTGTGATGTTGATGTATGGCTCCTATTAAAGACTTCACAGGAGAAAAAACCCTTAGTGTTTTGACATTAGCAAACGGTTGGACATGTCATGCTAATGCTCTGAGGCTAATCGATTCCAAACCGCAGAGACTCTTTGAAATGTCAGCGTGCTCTCGGTGTCTGTGAAGTGACTTTCTGATGCTGTGTCACAGTCCAGATGGTTCTCTTACTGTAATGCTCACAAAGAAACATTTGTATGACGTTAGCGGTGGTGTAGATGTAGACACAGGCACGGCCTGCTGTTGCTCATTTTGGGGGTTAAAAGTGTTTGGAAACAGTTGTGTGTGAACAGTCACCGTGAAAAGAGTCAGATGACTGCTTCGGTGTATTTCTGGAAAGTAGTTAGTGTGTCCACTGGATGTCATTTCTGCTTTCAGTGTTACTGAGCTAATATTACAGAGGTAGGATATTACAGTTTAGTATGTAGGGAAATGATGATTTAATGATGACTTCATCACTGGAATTGTGTGTGGTTATTATTTGAATTTTTAAGAATGTGAACAATCATAATAATCATGCTTTATAGAAGAAGTTATGAATTTAAAACAAAGGATGAACTAATGTTCAGTAGTCTACTATGAAGTGGAGTGCAAGTTTTGCAAGCACTCAGTACAATGCTGACAATTTTGTAAGGCCATTGTTTCAGATTTCTGAATGTCTTTTTCCCCATCTCCCAGGTAACCACTGGTTCCAATTCATTTACATACAATATGGAAATCAGTGTGTGATAGGGGTGTAATGGTACACAAAATCCATGTTTTGGTATAGTACTAGGTAGGGATGGGACGATATACAATATTATCACGTCTTGCGATAATAAACACAATTTATCATTGTGAATGATGATCGTGAATATCCTCACATGGCTTACAGTCCTATATCGGTTTCCTGATTTATTAAGGGGACAAGAGGGAGCCCACATCTTTCCAGTTATTCCAATATCCTGATCCTGTCACCATGGCTGAAGGTTCTGCTGGCCTGTTGCATCCCCCCAAAAAACAGTTCAACCCGGAGGTGTGGAAATAGTATAGATTCCAAAATAAAGGTTGTATCTGTGATACAATAAATATATGTTTCTTAACAATATGTAAGGTAGAGTGATTCCAGTATGTTTTAGTACCATTTTAAAAGTATGAAGTATATTTTCATGATTATCATGTATTGAAATTATTTTGGCCAAGATAATTGTGACATGAGATTTTCATATCATCCCATGCCTATAGGACATAACTTTTGGGGTTTGAGGGGTCATTGTTTAATGTTTTCAGTCAGCCCAGTTTCCTAGAAATTACATTTATATACGACTGTTTGTTTCTGTCCAATTCAGGCACTGGACCAAACGTTCTAAAAACAGCCACAGGATTAGGGTTAGGGTTCTGTTGAGGTTAGGGGTAGGGTTAGGGTTCTGTTGAATTAAGGTAGTAGCAGCTTTTTTGGTCCAATTCAGGCACTGAACATAAACATGTCGGTAAAATGGGAAAAACATTCAACTCTAATACAGTGGGGTAGATTTTGCTCAGCAGAGTTGTAGTATACAAGTATATTGTAGATGTTTTGTACAAAAACACTACTCTGGCTAATGAAATAATATAGTGAATCTGTGGTTTCTCAGTGACGGACTTCCTTTTCTCTGCCTCACGTTATTATTGAGCCTGGTTGGATTTGTACAGAAAGATCTTTTAAAGTGAAGCTTTATCTTAAGAATTTGCTTCCAGTGACCTAAATCTTTAGTACTTTAGCTTTACATTGTCCTGTAAATGTCTTTGTATAGGTTTGAAGCGAGTCCAGCACTTCTGTCCAACAACAACCCCGCAGTCTCAGCACCCCCACAACTACAGTGCATTTAGAGGTCTGTTGGCTAGAACCAATCAGTGTTTTGGCTCAGGCAACAGCCAGGACAACTCACCCAGGATTTAGGTCTTCCTGTCTGGAGCCAAGTCCCTCAACACTCCCCCTCACATTGGCTGCTTCTCCAAACGCCCCCAATAGTAGTCCAATAAATCTGTGCATGAGAGGGTTGATTCTGGATCCTTAATGTCATTTTAAAGCCTCTTCTTCCCACCTACTGTAAAGATTTATAACTCATGTTGAATTGGGTTGTTTTTTTTGACAGAGTATTTCTGTCATTAAATACATCCTCTTCACATGGCCTTTTCATGACCAAAAACTTAAAGCTGCAAAAAGCAATATACTGACAATTGTTTTGGTTTTACTACCTACAATTTTACTGCTTTGGTTCACTCTTACTTCTTTACTCAACCTTGTTTCCAGCAGCAAGCAGCTGTTTTTAGCAAAAAAGCTCTGATAAACCCACTGTACACTGCCTTCCCAACACCAAATAGCTAAAAGACAAAGTTGGTGTGTAGTTTGTGGAAATAGTTGGGCAATAGGAAGCTTAAAGGTCCACTGTGTAACATTTAGGATGATTTAATGTCAGAAATGGAATACAATATTCATAAGTATCTTTTCATTAGTCTATAATCACCTGAAAATAAGAATTGTTGTGTGTTTGTTACTATAGAATGAATAATTTTTTTCTACAGAGGGAGAGGGACCTTTCACGAGTTTCGCCTTCACGCTTGGAATGCAAGGGTGAGGGCGTTGTAATCTGCAACTATACTGCAAGATACCTCTAAATGCTACACACTGGACCTTTAAGATGATTGGTCCACAGTCCTGTAATCTCTCTCCTGTTAGCTATGGTTTGCTTGCCGCAGCTGCCATGGGTTCGACTCCAACCTCTGGCCTTAATGTTTTTAATTTAAAATGTGCATAAAAAGAGGTATAAGGAAATACACTTTGGTGTACCCTAAAAACACATCCACAATACAATGACCTGCTACTGTTCTGATCTATAGTTAGTATAGTATAGTATCTGTAGTCTGATGAGCTAGCTTCTCTTCATTTATGAAAATATGATTTTATTATTTACTATTTATTACTAAATCATTAATTCAACGATATTAGGCCAGTGTAAGCTGAGTTGAGACCTGCTGATGTTGTTGCAGTTCCTTATCTAAATGCCTCTTTAAAACTACAGCACATGTGGGTTTTTGGGGTAGCACCAAGCTGTTTACGAGAAAATGAGTGTTTACTCTGTAAACTTAACTCCCAGAGACGGTGTGGTAGGCCACCATGCAGCACTACCTAAAAAAAATATTACAGGATAAGACCGCTGGGAGAGCAAATTGCCCAGGGATGGACAGGAGGGGGGTTAAAAGGTGTGTGTTTGTCTGTTAATATGAGTGAGGGGTGGTACAGATTGGTGCTGTAAGAACGAGGGAGAGGGTGGTGTAGGGAGCAGTGAGAGTTTAAGGAGGTGGGACTGGACAAGAAGTCAGAAGAGGAATTGGGGGTGTATCTCATTGGTCCAAATTGGATGTCCCCGTTTTAGGCAGCAGCTTATTCATCACTATGAGAGACACAGATACTAAATAAGCTGTGGAGTCAAGGAAGGACGGGCCAGCAGGTCACTGTGACTCATGCATCAGCACATATCTGCCTATGTGGAAATACAGTACGAAGCCTTGATACTAACCGCTACACCACACCACTCATCTAATCACTGGCTCCCACCAGTATACTCACACCCAGAGGAGAATAAAAATTAGCCAAGATGTCAGCCAGCTGCACTCCTGCATGGGTATACACTTGAGAAGACACATTATTTCTGCACAGTGCTGCATTTGGAGTTGGTGTGAGATTAGATATGAAAATGTGGGAGGAAGGAGCTCCAGTTTTTAAGGGTGTGGATAGGATTTGTCATAATATTTTTTATTCTCGCATGTGTGTGCAAGGGTAATGAGTTGGACAGTGTGAGTAAAGGATTGTGTTCCTGTATGTACTTTGCCATTACATCATCAAATCATCAATTGTGTTATGTCACTGCTGATTAACAGTTGGCATTTATCTATAAATCTATGTGTTAAACTTCATTTTCAAGATTACTGTGTACTGTGTAAGCCATAGGCTGATAAAGTTCTACCACCAGGGGCACAATATAAAGGTCAGTTTAAGATCCCTGAGGGGTTTCTACACAACATGTGAAAGCAGTAGTCTTCTTTGGGTGTGGAAGAGTTTTGCCAAGTCTGAGAAAATATCGTTTGTCTACAGAGCAAAACACTAGCTAACTAGCTAGCTAATCCACATTACTTGCAAGCTAGTTAATTATTCAAAATGTGGGCATCTTCAGAACTACAGCACCTTATTATAATGCTGTTTGTTACACATTTTACCTGCATATTACATGGCCATATTTTGATAAGATTTTAATGAACTGTGCAGCCTCAGAACAATGTCTTACTGCTTTGTGTTTCCTCTCAGGTGAAGGTGTGGTTCCAGAACAGGAGAATGAAGTGGAAGCGTGTGAAGGGAGGCCAGCAGGGGGCAGCAGCTCGGGAGAAAGAACTGGTCAATGTGAAAAAAGGGACATTACTGCCGTCTGAGTTCTCAGAGTTAGTAGGACTGCAGCGCTCTGCCAGCTCGCCAAGGCCGGCGACCGAAGAGGACAGCCACGACAGTGACCAGAGCTCAGAGCAGCCTCACCTATGACCTTCCTTGGTGTTATTGGACAGGACAGAAATTAAGGAAACATTGGTGGAAGATTAAAAAAAACATGTATACGGCTTGCTGTGAGCAGAGCCTCCCAACAGACATTAAAACGAGACTCAGAGAACATTCCAGAGACGCTTGGTGTTGATGAAAGGGCTTGGATTTTGCACTGTCGAGGATTTGTTTCAGTCAATTTCTACTGTACTTCTTTGAGCATCAGTACAACAAACATTTTGTTGTGTGTACAATGGCAGTCTATTGTACACACAACAACTGAAAGCACTCACGCTTTTGAATTCTAATAATTTATCAAAGAGGTCCCAAGACTGTAACCACCATAAAACCAAACTGCTTAGTTTTTGCATTGTAAAATAATGTAACTGGTAAACATGTGTTTATCCTTTTTTTTTGCTTCTTGCTCCCTCTGAAAGTTTACATGCTTTTTACTTGCAAAGATCTGGATTTCCAGTGCAAATAAATCCGAAAAACCGAAATGTCTTGGTCAATTTCTCAGCATGCATACACTCATCGGCAGATAACCATTAGGCGGGGCAGACAACTGTCTGGGACCCCTAACAGCTACAGATTTACGATGATGTTTGGATAAAAAACTGAAAATTGTAACTAATTTTAACATTATATTTCAACATTTTATAACAAAAATGTTAACATGGAAATGACCAGGAATATAAATATAAAGAGCATAAAATTATCAAATTCAAATAAAGCTCCTCACCTGAGTAAATTAATGTCAGGATGTCGGTGAAAGCAAGGTACTGTAAGTTATTTCAGCCATGGATATTAGTAACTCCCCTTCATTAAAAGTTGTCATGTTATAACAAGAAACTTGTCTTAAACATGAAATGTTTTACGCTATAACAAGATAAATAGTATAAGTAATGTTATAACATGAAAAGTTGCTTGATATAACAAGATGTTTGTCACATCTTAACAAGATATTTTCACATTTCAAAATACAAACTTATCACATTATAGCAAGAAACTTTTACAAAATACGGTTTCTCTTGTTATAACCAATTTTAATATATATAAAAATATCCAATCTTTTTGCGTCATAAGTTTTGAATGCAGGACTTTTTGAGTTTGTTCGTAATAGTTTTACTTCTAATACGACTGTCTATACCAACATTCTCATGGGTGAAAAAGGGTGAAAATGAGGCACAATGGAGGTCCCATGCCAGAGTTTGTCTAGAAACCCCCAAATCAATAAATCTGCCTCTGGATCCACTTCCATGAGAAGATGTTCACTTGATTGATGGGTGTATTTTTGTGTCGTCTCCACTGTGTGAGTGTGCATTCTAATTCATGCAGCAGTATCTTGGCCATGAAAGCTGCAGCATGTAGCTTGTAAAAGCAGCTGGTGATCCTCTCACTTATTCAGCTCAGGCCTTCAGCTGCTCTGCGGCTTTCACTTCCCTCAGACGCATCTCAGAGCTGACTTGTGGTCAAATGTCGTACGCAGTGTTTTCTCTCTGTGCATGTGTTTCATTACTGTGTGTCATTGTTTGATAGAAGCAGTACACGACACGGCTGCCTGCATGGGAATAAAAGGGAAATGAATAAGAGATGTTCATTCATGCGGGCTGTTTGTCTCATCTGGAGGCAAAGCTACCTATATTTCAGAGCCAACTCACAATCATGTCTTTAATCAAGTCCAACCGAAAAACAAAAGTCAAAACTGATATCACAGTGATTTAAGTCTCAAAGCCTCTGAGTGGGGGTGTTTAATGTACCACTGAGCCAGCAGGGGCACCTGCACTGGTAACTGTACAAGCAGACAATAGTTAATATGGCTGTCAACGATTTTCCTAGTCAATTAGTAGTCATTAAATAAAGTCAACAGTCAACTAATCGTTGCATATTTATGATATTTATTTTATTATTTAAATATACTGTATTTATTTTTACAGCCACCTGTTATATGATAACAGAAAAAGTGATTTTGAATGTGTCAGAACAGCCAGTAAGGAGACTGAACATTTAGTTTATTTATTTCAACACAGTATAACATCTCACAAGTCTTGTTGTTCAAAACACAGAATAAAAAACTTCCAACTTCACTGAAAAAAATAATGGCATAAATACGGACTTATCGATACAATGGGTGATGTATAACGTTTCAAAATTCAAGTTTCTTACAAATTAACTCGAGTCAGAGTCCTGGTCTGAGCCGCTGTGAATCAGCTGACCTGCATCACTTCTGTTGCTCTATCCGGCCCTGCTCCTTGGCAGAATTCCCTACTGGATCCCCTGCTCCTACACTAGTAGTGTTTAAACTCCCCCTTCAAGCTCCCAGTCCAGGCAGAGTCAGCTAATAGGACTGTTAACTAGCTAGTGGCAGCAGCTAGTACAGTTAGCATATGCAACAGTGAGAAAAGTTCTGTGTTGCAACAGTCCTGATAATTTCATCCCAGTGAGAAGGCGCAGCTCATGAATGAATATGACGTTGCTCTTGTTTTTCTGTGACTATCTGAAAAATCCTTCTCAGCAATTAACGGTTAAGCTGATTAATAAGGGGTAGCCCTAATCATCAGACAATGTTTTTTGACAGTGATCTGAGCGGGATAAAGGGATTCCTTTGAAAGTAACCATGCTATCTTTTCCATCACCAAAATTTAGCCCAACTTTGGAGCGTTATTTAGCCCCCTTTCCAATAAGCTGGTATGGCATGGTTGGTACCAACGGATGTCTTATGTCTACTAGTTCAGTATCTTCTCAGTATCTAGCTCTAGAACTGCAAGTGGCAGCAACTTGTACTGCACCATAAATGTAGAAACGTTTGTTGTGTTACAAGAGGCACAGCCTCCGTTTGCTGCAGACGGACAACACCTTCCTCACAGCATGGGAAAAACACAGACGGAATAGCAGGATGGGAAAACAAAACTTGCATACGCAGACGATATGTTGCTATGGTGATGATGTATTATTTACAAAGAATGAAATAAATAATAAATATAATTATTTGGCGAAGATTACTTTATGTGATTTATTCATTATAAGCTAGTGTTTTAGATTGCCCGTGTTTTCTCCTTGTGTGAGGGAGCCATGTAAGTTATGTTTTAACTTTGTTATTGTTGCCAGTATTCTCTGCCAGACTCACCAAAGTTTACCATCCTGCTCTCATCCACTAACAAGACCTCCGTTTTACTGTCTACCGTTTGCCTGAATGTGAATGCAGCATTAGACTCTTCTCTTCAACCAACTAGTCTACTTGATGATTAGGGCACAGCCCTAATTGTAACAGAGATGCATATATGTTTACATATGTATGTCATATATATCATACAAAAACAAGACACTTAAAATGACGTGTGAAAATGGGATCTGAGTGTGCTGCAATAAGACGATTCCCTTTATCTGCCATCATACAGCATCTTGGATTTCAGGACATCGTCTTAAATGGTCTGCTGAGAAAAGTTGCTTAGATCCAGATGAAGACTAGTTACGCTCCTGTTATATTTCCATCTGACTGATGATCCAGGTTTGTGTTTTCACTGAGAGGAGGATAAAAAGCTGGTTTGCTGTGGAATGCATCTGGCCAGTGTCACGCCTGATCTTGGATGAACCTCGTACCTTGACCCCTGAGGGAGCAGCTTTTCTTCAGCAGGAAGGGTCATGTTGTCATTACGGTCTGCCATGCCAAGATCAACACAGCCAGCTGAAGACTTTCCCTCACTCGACTGGAGTGCTTGCTTTGCTTTCCTAACTAAATGATTTAGTAGGATTTATAGCACTGCACTGGTGTTGATAGGTAGTGCGCACTGAGGTAGGATTCTTCAAACTTTTGTGAATGTTTCAACAAATCTGGAACTGCAAGGGCGAGAAATTTGATCTTTCATGAGAGCAAAAAAAGAAAAAAAAAGATATTGAAATCAGTCTCACTTTTTCCTCAGTGACTCAGACACTTTTGAGAAAAGCTCTGACCATGGATGTGCCTGTGCTGGATTTCTCACAGTTTGTACAGATACTTTGGGATATTTCCATGCTGTTCATCTGGGAAATATTAAAATCGGCCATCGGTGAAAGAAGTACAGCTAACTGCTACATGTTTATTCAAATAATGAGCAAAGCTGGGAGAGCAGCAATGTTGAAATCTTTTAATGCAGATGGGATCTCAGTGTCTTTTTGTTGGAGAGAAAAATGAATCCAAATACAAATCACCCTAGAAACTGAGAGGGAACAGTCCAATGTCATTCCGATGTATATTTGTTCAGTCCTCGTTAAATGTGTGTAATAATGTGATGGTAACCTTTGTAAGTCTAATACCATGGTGTGACAGTGGAAATAGGGATCTGGGGCCAAAGAATTTTCTCGTGCTCAGGAAGTTGTTCAGATTCTGCAGATTATGGCTGAATGAGACTGAATGACGAAACACAGGAAACCACAAGCCCTCCAATAAACTGGCAGGGGACCCTGACTGACAGCTGTTTTACCCATTTAGAGCTTCAGTTGTTGGACTGAGATCCACTTTGACTATTTGTGGTACGAGGGAATTGGCTGCCTTGACTAAGAAATGAAGGTGCACTAACAAAAAGTGACTTCACACCTAGAAAACTCAAATACTGAGGCGTATTTTATACTGAACAAGTGTTCATTTCGGGGATGAAAACTGCGATGGAGTGCTGGACTATACATATAAATGAATGTCCGTTACATTCAAGCCAAACAACTTCACACAATGCTGATTAAGCATATCAGCCCGCTGCTGGGTAAATCTTTCTGTATTTCAAAATTCAAAGTTATTTTGTCATTTACAATGCAAGGTTGTAGAATGAAATTTAGATATACAGCGGGTAAAATAAGTATTGTACGGAAGCCGAGAACGGCCATGGATTTTTTTTTTATGCACTGTTATATCGTGATAACGACTTATTATCTCGTTATCTCGATATAACAAAGATCGTTTTCTCGTGATAACTAATTAATTAATAATGTGTTCGTCTTGATTTCAACCCCTGCTGCCACAACGGCTTCCAGTCAAGTAAACAAACTAACGTAAAGTGGTAATTTACCGGCAAGCTACAGGCTACAGGCCAGTGGCAACCGGAGCGTTTGTGGGCAGCTCTTGTAGCCAAAGTTTGTTTTCTCGAGATAAGGGAATTAATTATTTCCTTATCTCGACATAACAAAGATTGTTTTCTCGTGGCAGTGCATTAGTTTGAAGTCAAGACGAACACATTATTAATTAATTTCATTATCACAAGAAAACGATCTTTGTTATGTCGAGATAACAAAATAATTAATTTGTTATCTCGAGAAGCTCCTTCGTACATCTGCCACAGACCTGAAATATCAACCCCTACACCACACACACACACACACCACCACACACACACACACACTTCATATTGCACATTTAACAACATACAAACAGCTTGTTTAAAATATTGTTTCGTTGTGTTTAATATGAGAGCAGAAACAAATTATCTGTATTTTTTATTATCTGGTTCTGTTTAATAGTTTTCCAAGATTT